ATTATAAGAATAACATATTTTAAATATTAAATATTAAATATAATATTAAATATTTTAAGTTTAAATTGTTTTGAATTGTCTTTGTAACCAAAAACTGTACAAAAAATGTCAACATTCAAAATTATTTGTTTTTTATGTTCTTCAAAATTTTTTAGAGATAAAATTATAAAAACTTTTTTTAGGGTAAAAAATGGGAAAACCAATTTGTACCGCATAAAACGTTGTTGATAAAACCTTGGTCCCATCATGGTTTTGGAACTCATTTAAGTTTATCCTGCCCTACACCTCCAAGGAAAATATAAATAAACTAGTGGCTTGTAGGGGCAATAGCCCCTATATAATAAACACACCCAACCACACACACACACACACACACAACCCCCCCTCCCCCCCCACACACACACACACATAGCCTATATACAGACTGTCCCAAATGTCCCGGACCGGTTTAATATTTTCTAAACGACAACAGATAAATCAATAAGATTTGGTACATCACCACCAAACCTAAAAATCTACTTTTTTAAGGAAATATCAATTTTCTGTCACATCATGGGGACGTCCCGCAAGGAGTCAGAAGGAAATCTTAAATAGAAGCATAGGTTGACATGTACATCAAATTAAAGGCCTTTACTAGCAAAATATAATGCCACAAATTTGAACTCAAACGGACAACCAAGTCAAGAATGACAGTGGTTCAAAGATTCATTTAATTTGCATTTGGGGGCACAGCCCTAGGAATCGGAAAATTTTTTTTACCGTAAGCATAGGTCGATGTGCACATCAAATTAAAGGTCTTCACTAGTAGATTACAATGCCGTAAATTCATGCTCAAAAGAACGCCTGAGTAAAAAATGGCAGTCGTTCAAAGATTCAAAATGGCAGGTTCGAGAAATCTTTGAACGGCTGCCATTTTTTACTCAGGCGTTCTTTTGAGCTTGAATTTACGGCATTGTAATCTACTAGTAAAGATCTTTAATTTGATGTGCATATCAACCTATGCTTCTATTTAAGATTTCCTTCTGACTCCTTGCGGGACGTCCCCATGATATGACAGAAAATTGATAGTTCCTTAAAAAAGTAGATTTTTCAGTGTGGTGTTGATGTGCAAAATCTTATTGATTTATCTGTTGTCGTTTAGAAAATATTAAACCGGTCCGGGACTTTCGGGACAGTCTGTAGGCCTATATATTTCAGTAGTTATTTTGTAAAAATTATTAGTCTCATCGGTTATCCTACCTTGAATCATCGTTTAACATTTTTGTATTTTATTAAATGTGTAACTTTACACTTTTTGCAGACATATCTAACACAACCAATCGTACTCCATTAGATTATAAAAGGTATAATGTTACCTGGATCTGCCAGAGTAATCCAAATTGCTGTCTAACGACTAAGCGTTTCGAAGCAGTATAAGCTTCATCTTCAGGTCGTCAAGTACACATTTCACTCATCAGACAATTATATTATAAACAAATTATATTATTTGTATATCAATTATATTTATTTGACGACCTCTGATGAGTGAAATGTGTTCTTGACGACCTGAAGACGAAGCTTATACTGCTTCGAAACGCTTAGTCGTTAGACAGCAATTTGGATTACTCTGGCAGATCCAGGTAACATTATACCTTTTATAATCTAAAACAGTAATCCTGAGACAAGAAACAACATGAAATACTCCATTAGCTAATCCAGGCCCTTAAAATTGGGTAAAGTCTATTTCAGCTCTATAATAGTATACATACTACATATTACAGTACAGATTACATATTATTACCATATGCTTTAATAGATATTTACATTACAAGTGTAGTAAGAACATCTTTACATCACGCAGGTGAATGTTGTGCAACGAGCGGAAGCGAGTTGCATAATTCTCCTAAGTGATGTAAACAAGCTCTTGCGTTAACGTGTAACGTACAAGATTTTACCGGACCCGAAAATATACAGGAGGTTACGAACAATATTTTCAATTAGGGCCTACCCATTTCACTCATCTTCTGACAGTAACGTTCATTATAAACAAAAGCTAGGTTAGGAAAATTCTTTAAAGCATAACAATAAAATTGTGTGTCAGAATGCTGATACCGTTTATTTAAGTTAACCACTCAATGTTATTTAAATGGGTTTCATTACCTCACCGAGTGAGTTTTTTCAACTTTGCATCACTCGTGAAGTAAAGAAGTTGTATACATCACGCTTGGAATAGGGAAGTTTAACATGGCGGGTTAGGTAAATAAAGTTAAACCACATGTTTTAGAGTAAACAAAGCAGACATGACCTAGATTCCCATGCTATTTAAATGTGAATCATTTTAAATGAAGAAAAATGAATAATTTTCCCCAAAATTGTATGACCAGACCTTTAAAATGAGACCTCTCCCAGCATTCTATGGCCTCCCGTTCGCTCACAATTTCATTGTACAAATGTTCGGCTTACGGAAGTAGATATATCTTACTAATATTATAAACTAGCTGTTGTACCCGTGCTTTGCAACGGGAAGAGGACACAAAATAGAAACATTTTAATCTTTACATCTGTTGCATATAATAGTTACACATCCACCAACGCTTTTAGAAACAAAATTCAACTTTTATGGCCTTAATAGAAACGTTTAAGTTATGACTTTTAAATCTGGTAAGTAGTGGATACCACCATTTTTGTTTAGATTAATTTTAAATCTTGTGTAGGCCGATATGAGAAAAACTGACCAAATCTTCGAATAAAACTTTCACATACGACTTACCTTCATCGCTCTCTTTATTACATATCTTTTTATTTATAATTGTCATTTTAAATTTCAATTTTGAAGTTGCAAAAATACTAATTATTAAATTTAAATGGACATTTTTTTTAAATTTCACTCTTTTTCATATTAAATCACAAATCCTTCCATCTTCAGTTACTTCACTCACAATAAATCAATAGCAAAACTAAGTCAGCTGTTATAAACTTTAGAAATATTGTTGTGCCTTATCAATACAGTCTTTTGAAATATTACAGAAACTATATCTATACTATAAAAAATTTCAAACAAATAATTTAGCATTAAAGACAGCAGACAAAACTAATATGATTATCAAAACATTGAGGACTAAAAAATGTAGGCAAATACAGTATATGTTTCATTGCATCTCTGATTCTACTCTACAAAAATATTAACAAACAACTTAATATACAAACCAGTTCTTTTAATCAGTTCCACAGTCCATTGCCTTTAAATTTTCACACTTAACATTAAGTAAACATAGTACCGGTAACAGATATTTCATTGATTTTAGAAACAAAAGAACACTGTGTACTGCTTAGTTTTATGATATTTTCCTTGGTTTAATTTAATCAGTGGTGTGGCAAAACACAAATAATCAATTTATCAAATAAAGTAAATGTGAACTGAAAGCTATGTTAAGATAAAATAAGAGTATTTTGTATTACCATTTGATAACTAAATATAGTTACACATATACAACAGATTTTAGAACACAAAAATCAATGACGTACAATTTAGTTATTGATGATATCCTTTAGTTTAATTTAAGCATAGGTTTAGCAAAACACAATAAATAAATTTACCTAAATATACATATAAAAAACAATGTGATGTGCAAGTTATGTTAAGTTAATCTAACACATGTTAAGCAGTTAGAATTTATTTAAAGTAGCCTCCAAATTCATACAAAACATTGTAATTTTCATACTGTTTCCATGAAAACATATCAATAACATTATTTTCATAACGTAGACGCTTTAAAAATCCAAAGCAGAGCTGGAGTTGATACAGCAACGGTTATAGAATCTTTTTTTTCTATAATAATTGACAGTTTAAAATAAATAATCCATGATAAAACGTTAGATTAAAATAAACCTACCTCATAGTTATGGAAAATATTATATTTAAATTCTTTGTATCAGCTGTTTGAAATTGTGAAATATGCAATTAAGCAGTTCTTCTTGTTTACATTGAAATGGCAAAGCAAATGTAAACAAACATTATAAGTGTTCTAATCGCAGCCATGGAGACCAATCAATATTTACTTTTAAAATCCTCACCTCAGAACTTTTAAAGCCAAAGGGGCAAAGCCTACGGTCAATATCGAAATGTGAATAGTCCTATAATGGTTCTTGGTATGGTAGCTATATTTTTGTAAAATTTAAGCCCAGTTGGTTCAGTAGTTTTTGTACCTATTAGTAACACACATACAGACAGACACCATTAGATTTTTATATAATAGTATATAGATGTGCAAGTTTGTGTGTTTGTTTGTTTGTTTGTTTGAAGATCAACCACACATTAACTAATGGACGGATTGGGCTGAAATTTGGTATGATGATAGCTCATATTCCCGATTAACATATAGGCATATTCTTATCTCAAAAATCATTTCGGGCTCAGCCCCAGTGGCTCTTTAGTTCCCCATGTTAATCTTATGAGCATTCATATTTGAAGGGAATTAAAGAATTTAGTCAGCTGTTTCAACTAAAAAAGTTGGTTCTATGATATGCAAAAGTATTAAAAAGTTATAAGATTTAAAAACAGGGTGCAGCACTATTATTTTATTTGCATTTATGACAACAGCTAATTTGAACTAAGCAGCAACAAAAACTGTGTTTGGCAAAGAGAACTGTCAAAGTAGGATTGTTTACAGTTATGTTAATGTTTTAATTGCAGAAATAATTTGTGATATTTGCGAATTTTCAATAATTTATTTTCTTTATTGTTTAGATGACGTGGTAGAACATTATGACTATGATAGATGTGTAATAGTATATACCGTAAATTTAAAGAAGCAAATTTTATCAAACTGTGTCCTCCCCCATTGCAAATGCTAAGTTAAAGTATAACTGCAATAAGCATTTTAGACTTATATGCCAACCCCGTACGAAGGACGGGTACTCTGCTAGTAGATATATATTTTTAAGGCCTCCTACGGTAACAGCTACTTCCCTTTTGGTAAATTTAAAATTTGCTAAGCCAACAAAACAAGAAAAAAATCAAATTAAATAAAATCAAAAATCCTTTATTTGTCTTCAGTATGCAAGAAACATCATTTTGTAAAATACTGTGACGTGGAGATGGAATGTACATCTTAAAACAGAAAAAATCTATTTCTCTTTCTTGTTTGGCGTCGTTGTGCTCAGCACCATAAAGAAGTTTATATGATCAAGGATTGGTAAATATGTCACGTCTCTGAAAGGTTTTCTTCCAAGTTGTAGGACTTGCATATTTCTTGGAACAGCTGCCTCTTCTCAGATTCTGGCAAGAAACTGGCTTTGGCGGCATTCATATTCTGTAAAACAACCCAGTAGATCTCACACTGAGCAAATACACTTTTTACATTTCTTAATAGTATTCCCAAAGGTGTAGGAATAACTAATAATAACTCTTCTATGGCAGAGATAATAAGCCAAGTCTAAATAAAAACAAATAACTGATACGTGAGTATTTTCATTTTTTCTTAATATTTCAATGTGCTAATTTTTATTATATTTTTAAGGGAGACCCCTTGTTGTTGTGTAACTCTCTTAGTACGATCATGGTGGCACTATTAGTTTATAGCTCCTCAATGCTTAATTCAGACCCTATTCAACTATATTCTTACACAGAGAAAGAGTTCTGGTAGAGACTGGTACAGTTCCTACGAATAAAAATGTATTCCCTTTTCAACTTCTATAAACAATTCTGATTGTTTATATTTCAACATACCGCTTGAGCGAGATGTGTATCCGTAAGTCCGAAGCTCCTTGCAAGCTCGTAGTCACCATCCAAGTAGTATCCTGTCAGCATTGGGTCATCTGAGGATATAGAGAAGTTTGCACCATCCTCAGCAAACCTAGAGACCAATGTGGAGTCTTAAGTTTCAATTATTTTCAGTGCAATAATGATTTTGGATATGAATAATATCTCAGTTAGTACTGATTAAGGAAGGGTTCGAACACGAATTTTGTCATGTAGGCTACTTCCCATTATTGCACTTCTAGTTATCCATTATGCACTAATTTAACTCTGCAGCAACTAGCTTTGTTTATAGAAGCTATTATGATGGAGATATTCAATTCCCATGGTAAATTGGTAGATAGTTTTAGAATAAAGAATAGCTTAGATTAGTTTTAATGTCTTAAACACATTGAATTAAACGACATTACATAGTGGTATTACACATTAACACGACAGAACAAAGGATCAATGAAAATTTATTATTCAAACATATGAGGCTGAATATATACCTGTAGCATACCATACTACCATTACCGTACTGAAATAGGGAAAATATTTAAAGGGAACTAGAGCTCGCCCCGTGGTCGAAAACTCGACCAAAAGTATGTATTGTGCAAACTTCTTTATTTTCACCCCACGCTGTAAATAAAACATGTTATTGGAATTTCTTCCATTTAATTTGTTTTGAAAAAGTTTAATTTCCATTTTTGTCCCGATTCAAATATTTCTAAAATACAAATAAAACCTGCACATATAGAGCCGATAACTTAATTTTGGTACATCCCGTGTGTAATTCGGTCCAATACTATGGTCAGGCTAGCTGTCATAAGTTTTGCAAAAGTCATTTAGTATATTAGTATATATAGTATATAGTATATATATTATATATATATTAGTATATATATATAATACCCCCGCCACAGCAAACCAGCAGACTTAGCGAATTTCCATTTGCCTGATCGGATTTACACTATAATGTCTCCTTAAAAATATAACATTTATTCCCTATTTAAATAGAATTAGTTTAACGATTTTTTAGGTTTGCTGCAACAGGGTGGGTAAAAAAGTGTTTTTAATATAAAATTTTAATAGGTACCGTAGCTTAGTAAGAAATTAATGTATTTTCCAAGTTTGATCAAAATATGTTCATAAACAAGCAAACTACAACAGTTGACTTATTATCCATAACAATAACATGGGAATTTTAAAATTAAGTTTTTTGAATTTTCTCCGTAACCATTAGGCGCATAATAACGCTTCAATATACTAAATTATTTTTTTTAAGCTCTACAAAATGGTTTAAAAAGAAATTGTACAATTTTGTGTTTTAGGGTCGAAAATGGGAAAAACCTATTTTTACCCCATAAACCCCCCCCCCCCCCCCATAAACCCCCGTTTCGATAGTCCGATCATGCTGGTTCGCGAACTCATTCAAGTTTATCCCGCTTTACACCTTTAAACCAAATTTCATAAAAATCGGACAAAAATTATTTAAGTTATCGCGTTCACGGACATCTATATATATTTATATATACTAGCAGAGCACCCGTCCTTCGTACGGGGTTTGCGTGTAAGTATAAAATGGTTATTGCAGTTAAGCTATACTCGAGCTTTGCGTTTGCAATGAGGGAGGACACAGTTTTATAAAATTTGCTTCTTTAAATTTACAGTATTCTATAGTATTACACATCTACCATAGCTATAATGTTCTACCACTTCACCTAAACAATAGAGAAAAATGAATTATAAAATATCACAAATTATTCATGAAATTAAAAACATACGTAAGTACACAGTCCTACCATTGACTATTGGATACAGAATATTTTGTACCTTATTTTTCGTTACTGACGTAGTTGCTGGGTCACAATAGTTGCTATAGCACATAATAATTCATTCCATCAGTTTGACTTGGTAAAAACCATCATGTAATCGGCAGAAGTCAGTAATTTAGATCAGCGCAATCTGTAGGTGGCTCACATCAACTAAGACAAATTTTATTAAAAACCTGGCTACAACTTTAACATGGGGATGGAATGTCTAGTTGTTGTATTAATAGTCAAAGGTCCTACTTTGATAGTTCAGTTCAGTTGTGTATCACTGTTTTTTGTTGCTGCTTAGTTCAAATTAGCTGTTTTCATAAATGCAAAAAAATATGGTGCTGCACCCTATTGGTAAATCTTATAACTTTTTAATGCTTTTCCATATCATAGAACTAAAGTTTTTAGTTGAAACAGCTGACTAAATTCTTTAATTCTCTTTAAATATGAATACTCATAAGGTTAACATGGGGAACTACAGAGCCACTGGGGCGGAGCCCGAAAGGATTTTTGAGATAAGCCTATATGTTAATGGGGAATGTAAGCTATCATCATTCCAAATTTCAGCCCAATCCGTCCAGTAGTTAATGCGTGATTGAACTTCAAACAAACAAACAAACAAACACACAAACTTTCACATTTATAATATTAGTATAAGATATACACAAATATAAAAATTTGAACGAAAGGTGTTTTTGGCCTGCAATAGCTACTTCCCTATAGGTAAATTCGCTAATACTTCCCTATAGGTAAATTTGTTAATACCAGTTGGAGCAACCCCTTGGAACTGCGTAGGAACTTCAGGTGATAGTGTACAGTTTTTGTGTGGTCGCCATTTTACTAAAAAATATTATAAGTTTAAGACATAATAATGATACAATTTTTTTAATTTTCTCCGTTACCAATAACCGTACTAAAACACTTTGACACATTAAATTATTTTTTTAAGCTCTTTTAAAAAGTTTAGAGAAAAATTGGGAAATTTCATGTTTTGGGTCAAAAATCAGAAAATCCATTTTTTTACCCCTACCCCCCGTAACACCCCGTTCCCATGATCCGATCATGCTGGTTCGCGAACTTATTCTAGTTTATCCCACCTTCAGACAAAAATTACTCAAGTTAATGGGTTCACGGACGCGTATATATACTTTTTATACTTTTCAATAAAAAGGCGACCATACGAAGTAGGTTTTTTTAAGCCAAGTAAGGAGATGAGTGTAGGATGAGTGGCGCGATCTTGTAGTCTTTTTCCCTCGTATCTACGCCATTCGCATTTTTGTATTGAAGTCAAACACTTTTAAGGGAAAGCGGTCCGAACCCATTAAAGTTTTGTGGATATGCCGGGGATTGAACCCGTCCCTCACGCACCGTAGTCCGAGACGCTAACCACTAGGCTAGCAACACACCCTGCTAGCATTCACTAATATTGCCTTTTTTAGTGAATAATGCCGACATATTCCTTAGACACAGCTTTTAATTAAATAATTATATAAAAAACAAATACATATATAAAAATTTGAACGAATGGTGTTTTTGGCCTCTGGGGACATCAAAATGAAAAAGGATATCGGTCCCGGGCCCAGGTCTTACCGTGCCACCTACGGTAATAGCTACTTCCCTATAGGGGAATTCGCTAAAAACACCTGAACAACGTCGGACCTTGTAACTCTGCATTTTTACAGATAAAGATAATTAATTGACGTCATTACATAAACTAACCAAGAGAATGCTATTTGAAGCAAATAAAATTGTGACAGACAGATTATACAGGAAATCGGGTAGTATTTGAGTAATGTGAACAATTTGTAATGCTATTAAAAATTAGTAGATTTTGTAAACATCATGGTGTTACCATGCAGTATGCAGACTACTTTATCAATCATGAAGATAAACATGGACAACTTTATGCGGCTATGGGCGAGTCGAGATCCATTTGTAGAAAACACTAAAATGCAAGGTCAGCTTCTGAAAAATTATATTTTCAAAAAGTGTTGATTATATCGGATTGTTATGAACAGTAGACAATTGACAATTGCTCGATTTCGATAACAGGTACAATAGTTCATTATTATTCTCCTCCAAGAATGTAAAAACTGAAACTGACGTTTTTGCTTACCATCTACAGATTTACTTGTTTTACATAAATATATAAAAGTTTTAGATAAACAGCTATCAACCACGTTTTCTCAGACTTGCATCATTTCAAGATATTTTGTAAGTGTCAGTTTACTGACTGACTACTGACCTGAGTATCGGATGCTTGTTTGTGGCTTTTGGGACTGCTCCAGTGAGGTAGCTAGAGTATGGGCAACACTCAAAGTGAATCTGGTCTTTCAGACATCTGGAGTACAGCTGATTGTCCTGAACCACATGATAACCGTGACCAACACGATTGCTGCGAAGTTTGTACGCTGCCTGGCATTGGGATAATATAAGAAATTAACACCACGTACAACATTTAAATGATATATAGTCAAATTTAGTAAAATAATAGCAACAAAGAAGATGTGCTAGTAATAATGTTTTTGATTTAAAAATATATTACTGTAAGAGAGTTTGAACAACATAGTTGAACTATTTTTTTTAGTTTAAAGAATATACATAACTATAAGTTCATACAAATATTAAATTTTCATTTCAATAGTTCATTAAGGTTATATGAGCTTTGCAAAAGCTTAGTAACAGTAATACGCGTATAGTAGAATCTACTGAATTACAATTACTGTACGTCTTCTACTATAAATTAAATTAGCTGATCCATTAATTTCAACATAGTTGTAGTTTCTGGAAAAGTTTCCATTGACGTTGCATCGGTTCGGGAGGGATGAACGGTTTGGAGGTATTAGAGGGTTCTCATACTAGAGATTTTTCAATAATTCCACATTTGTTAAAATAACTGAAAAAACTTGTAAGAAGTACTATAACAGAGAGAACTCAAGAGCACAACATACCTTGCGTACCAATAGATATTTTATCATAGAAAAAAAACTTATCTGCCACAAATTAAGGTAAAGATCCACACAGATTAAGAAACTTCCAGCAGTCGAAGAATTTATTTTTCCTACAGTCACCCAACAAAGTGGGCTTCCTTGCATAGATTATAGTTAAGAAAGCTTTACTGGCGCACAGTTTTTACTTTGGCACAGTGTTTTTACTTTTCACACCAGTATTCCAACCAAACAACACAAAACTGCGTGCTCATATTATGTACGTAATCACAACCACCTCTAATACATGTATTAGAGGTCAAATCAAATCAAATCAAATCAAAATCTCCTTTATTCATGAATGTACAAGTACAAAGAATAGAGTCAGTGAGTACTTATTGTCTATTCACAATATTTTAAATTATAAAATTCCTCAAAGGAGTAAATTGCTTTTTCTACTAGGTATTTTTTTAGTTTAAAGTAAAATTTCCTACTATTACATTCATTTTTTATATCTTTTGGTAAAAAAATTATATATCTAAGGCCTCTATACACTGTGTTTTTTTTTTTTTATAAAATTCTAAATGATGTCTGTTTTGTATAACATATTGTGCATTTCTGGTATTATATCTATAACTGGTAGGCCTACTTAGTTCTAACTGTATCTTTGGTAAATGGTGCTGCTTAGTATATTTTATTGTCTCGTATATATAAATTCCAAACACTGTTAGGATTTCCAAATTAGAAAAATGATACTTTACACTTTCAATCCAATTTAAACTTAGCATTAATCTAATAGCTTTCTTTTGTAACAGAAGTATTTGATTAAGGTTTGATTTTGAGGTCCCTCCGTACACACTAATTCCGTATGATATAAATGAATGTACAAAAGCATAATGCACCAGTTTTATAGCCGAAAGATCACAGACATAGGACATCCTTCGAAGAGCATACAAGCCTGATGAAATTTTGCCTACAACATGATGGACATGAGAGTCCCAACTTAAATTGTTATCAATAATAATTCCTAAAAATTTTAAATCATTCACTTTATTAATTTTAGCATTAGTCTTCAAAATTGTCTCATTGTTTTTATTTTTATTTGTACAGAAAGAAATGTAACTACTTTTATTTTCATTTAAAAGTAAATTTTTACTGTTAAAAAAGTTGTTTATCTTGTTAATAGAGTGAGAATAAGAATTTTGTACAGCTTCAAGAGTTTTGCCTGTCACCAAAAGGCTTGTATCATCTGCATAGAGGCAAACTTTGCTATCTGTTCCTGAAATAAAACTAGGTAACCCCTTGATATAGCACAAAAACAGAAGCGGTCCTAGGATAGATCCTTGGGGTACTCCGTATTTGATAGATTGTATTGTTGAATTATGAAATTGTATAACATTTTTTGTACTAAGCCCTTTTGTGACAGTATATTGTTTCCTATCATTAAGATATGATTTAAACCATTCTATCTGGCGATTTTTTTTCCTAAGGATTGTAATGTTTTTATTAATTCTGAATGATTTACACTATCAAAAGCGCGAGTAAGATCTAGAAAGATCCCGAAAGTTTTATTTTTTTATCTATGATTTCAATTATTGATGTCACAAAATCTACACTAGCGGTTGTCGTTGACCTTCCAGCTCTAAACCCATGCTGATCTTCATCAAATAATTTATTTTTCTCTAAAAAATCTACTAATTGATCATACGCAACTTTTTCAAAAATTTTAGAAAAATTTGATAGTAGTGAAACTGGACGATAATTGAGAGGATTGGTTTCTAAACCTTTTTTAAAAATTGGAATAACTTTTGCTATTTTTAATTTGTTGGGAAATATACCGCAGATTAATGAAGAATTTACTTGATGTGTTAACGGTTTTGAAATTTCATGTTTGATGTTTGAGGTGGCTGTGACGTAATCCGTGTACGCTTGAAAATAAGCTGGCAACACTTAAAGATATTACTATGTACTACGATCAGCTGGTCAAGCGTTTCCCATTTCGTTCAATGTTTGGAATTAACCTAACCTAAAAACGTGCTGTACAGTGTTTGAAATATTAATTATTGACATGATTTATAGTAACTGTAGGAAAAATATACCAATTACACAAATAACTATTTAAGTTCAAGATGTGATTAAGGGAAAATGATTTTTTTTCATTGCAACCTAGATTTATAGCAAATCCAAAAATTCTTTATGTAAAGTATTTCATTATAATAACGTTCGTTACATTTACGGCAGGTGATCTGAAGTTGATGAGTTTTGGTTATGTTTGACCTCGAAACGTTTGTAAATCGTTTACAGTATTTTACACCTGTCCTATCTATTACCTGTAGTACATTTACAGGTACATTACCCTCTCTATAGCTGTTGGTCCGGAGACTTCCCCAGCATGTATTGTCCGGAACACTCCACTCTTACGAGCCTCTTCCATCAACTCCTGTACAGGTTCCACCAGAGGTGCCTCATCTTAACAGCACATCATGTTTTAAGATTACCGTACCATTAAACGTGTATTTTAATTTAAAAGTATATTATTTTTATTAGTATTTTAATTCAGTCCATTATTGGAACTGATGATTGGTTGAGTGGTTCAATGCCACTCAGGTGGGCAGAATATGGCATACAGACTATACAGTACTATAACGAGAGTTTCAATCCTGTCTTGGACTGGTCCTGAGAGCTCACCCTTTTTACGTGAACAGTGAACAGCTCGGGTGCAAGTTGACAGAATGGGTGGGAGAGGTGAATAGTGGACGGCTCGGGTGCAAGTTGACGGTATGGGTGGGAGAGGTGATCAGTGGACGGCTCGGGTGCAAGTTGATGGTATGGGTGGGAGAGGAGAACACTGGACAGCTCAGGTGCAAGTTGACGGTATGGGTGGGAGAGTTGAACAGTGGACAGCTCGGGTGCAAGTAGATGGTATGGGTGGGAGAGGTGAACAGTGGGCAGCTCGGGTGCAAGTTGACGGTATGGGTGGGAGAGGTGAACAGTGGACGGCTCGGGTGCAAGTTGACAGTATGGGTGGGAAAGGTGAACAGTGGACAGCTCGGGTGCAAGTAGATGGTATGGGTGGGAGAGGTGAACAGGGGACGGCTCGGGTGCAAGTTGACAGTATGGGTAGGAGAGGTGAACAGTGGACGGCTCGGGTGCAAGTTGACGGTATGGGTGAGAGAGGTGAACAGTTCACAGCTTGGGTGCAAGTTGACGGTATGGGTGGGAGAGGTGAACAGTGGACGGCTCGGGTGCAAGTTGACGGTATGGGTGGGAGCGGTGAACAGTGGACAGCTCGGGTGCAAATTGACGGTATGGGTGGGAGAGGTGAACAGTGGACAGCTCGGGTGTAAGTTGGTGATATGGGTGGAAGAGGTAAACAGTGGACGGCTCGGGTGCAATCTGACTGTATTGGTGGGAGAGGTGAACATTCGTCATGACAAGAAACATTGCGCAAAACTATCCATTATTTCATAAAGTGTCCTTTTACGGGTGTTTTATGGGGTAAAATTAGGTTTTCTCATTTTTGACCATTACAGCACAAAATTTCCCAATTTCTCTCTTCGCCATTTTAAACAACAATAATGTAGTACAGTATATTGAAAGTGTTGTGCGGTTATTGGTAACGGAGAAAGTTAAAAATATTGTAAATTTAAAATTTCCATGTCATTCTTATCGAGAATATTGTAAAATGTTGTAGTTTGCTTGTTTATGGATAAATTTTGATCAAATTTGGCAAATTTATTTATTTTATACTAAGCTATTAATATTTTACTAAAACACACTTTATTAGCCTCCCTGCAACAGCAAACCTAGGTACTCGTTAAACCTAATGTTGTTTAAATAGATTTAATTTTATATCAATTCAGGTAAATGGAAATTCGTTTTGTCTGCAGGTTTGCTGCGGCGGGGGTATTTAGTAATATTTTAGTTATCTGTTCGAGATGAGGAAAGAAATTTATGAAATAGTCATAGTTAAATTAATGAATAATCCTGAGCCGGGTCAATGCTTGTGTCGCCACTCTCATATCTCCGACTCATTTCTGTAAAGTAGCCTACCTATGTAAGTTGTCAGAGTGTTTGTTATTTTGATGGGTGTGTGCTGTCAGGCTTTAGAAGTCATTGGACTGGACAACTTTCGTTAGCCACTCATGTTCTCATTCTGCCCTGTTTAATATTTTACCAGAATATTTGTTATTTTCACTGGTTATTGTAAGTTTTAGTTGTTAATTAAGAGTGGCTAATCTTAAGGCTGTTCGCACTAACAATGGGGTTCACCTCCGGAGTTGGTGCTCCTGGAACCACAGCGGACATCGGCACCTTTTATTTGTACCTTTGGCAAACCTGTGTTTTGGACACTCACCCGGCACATGGGTAGTGCGTTTTCAGTTTTGGGTGGGGTCGAGGCTGGTGTCCGGTTCAATCCTAGAGGTGCAAAGCGTTACCTTGATCTAAACTTACCAACTTTGGTGCCCTCAGGCTGCCAGGTACACAGGTCCAATCCCACCACTCCCTGGTCCCAGCTATGTTGGCACAGTCTCAGGGTGTCTTGCATGTTCCACTCCGGGTGACTGTTCATGGCAATCAGGATGATCCTGCTACGGATACCCAGGTCGTGCTCTGCCCGGGTCAACCCGTGAGACACCCGCTTCACCACCTCAGTCAGACCTGAGGATCAGAGAAAGTGAGTAATGTTCTATGCAGTGTGGAAGTCTAGGAATAGAGCTGAGATTTGTCATTGAAAAAGTTGCAGAAATCGCTCATAGGTACCCCTATCCTCGAGATCATCACAACGCTATACCTATGAGCGATTTCTGCATTTCACTACGCCCGCAACTCTTGTGATACTTCCCGCTTGATAGTCGAGCACTGCGTGATTGCGTTTTAACCATTGAAGGTACTCTCCAGAGAAACCCAGTTGATACGGAACCATTAATGGAATCAAATTAATTAATTATTATTTTTATATATTGTTGGTGTTGAAAAAGTTAACTGTTTTTTAACAGAAAACTCTTTCTTATTAAAGTATTTTTGTCTCGCCACTATGTCTTTTAAAGTGGTTGAAAGTTCTGGGACAGTATGTGATTTTAGGTCAGTATAAATTTCGCTATAATGCAAAACTGACTGATGGGACATTGTCTTGGAGATGTTGTTCCAAAGATTGCAATAGTTGGGTTAAAACGGATAGTGAAAACCCCCAAATAAAATCATATAAGATAATAATTCACAAACACAAAACCCAATGTCCTAGCCCGAGACCTACATCCAGCACTGTGATCGTAACAGAGGTTTATTACAGATGTAGCTAAACTCGCTTTTCAAATGTGTCACTTTTTGTTTCTACTTACTTACATTTCGACAACGATATCGGTATTTTACCCACATGGGAAGTAAAACTACAAACGTCCAAAACCCCAGAATTGTGCGTTTTTTGTCACATTTCCTCCAACTGTTTGCTAGATATATGTACCAATTATCGTTTGAAGATTACGTAATCTTTTAAATGAGAAACCTTTGTTTGGATATAGGTGGTTTCTTCAAACTGACATTAATATGTTAACAATAATAGTTGCTTACAAATAATGCTATTAATGGGAAATAACTTTGATTTTCGAAAACTTAAAAAGATTTAAACCAAAGGAGATTAATAACTTCAGTACTGCACCACATTAAGTGAAAGTTTTTTGAGCAAACCATAGTGAGTTTTTAAAGCTTTACGTTGTTAACGTTACATGTTACATGTTTTGTGGCCTGTGTATTTATTTATTTATATATTTGCCAACGGATTAACACCTATAATACAGTTTGATTAGAAGGACAGTTTGAATTTGTCGAAAGTACTATAGTTTTTTTCTTAAATGTAAACGTTGGTTTTTGGTACTGCTACTCCTTAGAATCGGTGGTAGCAGTAAGAATCATTTTTACGTACAAACACATCACTATTTACAACTAGAGTTATTGTTAGTGCTGCACCTTATTTCTTATAAAATTTAATTGATGTCTTACTGTATAATTTTTGCGTGTTCTGTCGCTACTCCAAAATGTTAGTTTATGCTATAAAAATGATAAAACATTAGTGAAAGATGATTTGAGCTTAACGAATTTTTTAAGCTTGGCGTTGTTAACGTATACATTTTTTTAGACTGTGTATTTATTTGCTTATTTATATATTTGCCAACGGATTTACACCAATTTTACAGTTTGATTAGGCCTAAAAAAGTTATTATAAAATTGGATGGCACTATTAAAACTATCAAATAATTATTTTGTTTGTAATTTGCTTTGGTTAAAGCGTAGCAAATCCCCTAATTCAATTATGTTTTTGTGTGTGTATGTCTGTTAGTAACGCCCTAATGTCCTAACTTCTCAGCGTCTTGTGGAAAAGGCAGGAGCACCTTTGTTAATGAAAATTTCAACCCGAATAAAGTCTGCAGTAGTGAGGTTGAGGTAGTATTTTATCTACTTTTATTCAAAGTGAAAAGTAACTTTAAATTACAGGCCTACCTATAGGCTATGCCTCATAATTCTATAAAGCAATTCCTTTTATCATTAGATATAAAATATGGACTAACACGATCGGGTGGCATTTAATTGTGAAGCATTCGTTTTGGCTTTGAAACTGTCAGATATTGTATTTGCGAAGGTTTATATGTATTCCTATACAGTAATAGTTTTGCCAACTTTATCAGGAAAAATGCACACTAAATATGCAAACCAACTCCTGTTCTGAATATAAGGTTTCAACTTACTGCAAGATTCCCGTACGTAGAACGGGCAAACAGCTAGTACAGAATAAAATCAATTTTAAAATCAGAAAATAACATTGCAAATACTTCTTTTGGACAGTTCAGTAACTCTCAATGAAATGTGTGTTGTTTAAAATACAATTTTAAAATTAACAGCTGTTTCATTAAAAAGTAATATCCACATGGCCAAAATGTAAACAAATCTGTGGAGGGATCTTTAAAGGCTTCTGGGGCAGAGCCCTTAGCGAATTTACTTGGTTTTTCTTTTGATAACTCATCTACAGACAAAGACCTTTCTTTTGACACCTCTACCAAGTTTCTACGCCCAGCCGTTCTCTCAAATTAGTGGAGACAAAGTTTCCAATTAAATATTTAGATTCCCCCATGTTAATCTTATGGGAGAAAACCCAAATTTGATGGAAGATCCAGCCCAAACTAATAAAGATTTCAAAAAAATAAAAACACTTTGCAAAACTACAAATCAGGGCCATTCTTTTGACACTTTGATCATAAAAATCGGTCCAAAAATGAGGGAGGAGTTCTGTTCACAAAAATCGGCTTAGCGTATCTTCTATACTTATAAAAGGCAAAGCCCTCACTGACTCGACTCACTGACACACTCATCACTAATTCTCCCGCTTCCCATTTACCTAGGAGGCTGAAATTTGGTACATTGATTCTTTAGGCATTAAATAGGAAAACTAAGTTGTTTTTATTCTGATCGGACTCTTGGGCTCCGCCCCAGTGGCTCTGGAGTTTCCCATGTTAGCCTTATGATTTTTCATATTTAAAAGGAATTAATGAATCTTAACAGCTGTTTCAATTAAACAAGTTGGTTCTGTTCTATGATGTTCAATTTCATTAAAGTTACAATTATTACCAACAGGGTGCAGCACTATTATTTATTTTAATTAATGACAACAGCTAATTTGCAACCAAAAGGTGAGTGAGCGTAGCGAACGAACTTCAACCTGGAGACGAGTTAGCGTAGCGAACGAGCTAACCTGAAGGCAAGTGAGCGCAGCGAACGAGCTCCAACCTAAAGGTGAGTGAGCGTAGCGAACGAGATCATCTTGAAAATTAAGAAGTTAAACGGGGCAAAGCCCGCGGGTACAGCTAGTTATATATATAGAAGATTAGTAATTCAGATCAGCACAATCTGTCTGTAGGCGGTTTGAGTATACGTACCATCATACCCAAGTGTCTTGGCCAGGTCCTGTCCCAGGAGTCTCTGAGGCACCAATCTGACCTCAGCGTAGACAACTCCTCTCTGGGCCACGTCTTCACAGTACTCATATGCTAGACTCTATGTTTTAGTATACGTACCATCATACCCAAGTGTCTTGGCCAGGTCCTGTCCCAGGAGTCTCTGAGGCACCAATCTGACCTCAGCGTAGACAACTCCTCTCTGGGCAACGTCTTCACAGTACTGTACTCATATGATAGACTCTATGTTTTAGTATACGTACCATCATACCTGAGTGTCTTGGCCAGGTCCTGTCCCAGGAGTCTCTGAGGCACCAATCTGACCTCAGCGTAGACAACTCCTCTCTGGGCAACGTCTTCACAGTACTCATATGCTAGACTCTATGTTTTAGTATACGTACCATCATACCTGAGTGTCTTGGCCAGGTCCTGTCCCAGGAGTCTCTGAGGCACCAATCTGACCTCAGCGTAGACAACTCCTCTCTGGGCAACGTCTTCACAGTACTGTACTCATATGATAGACTCTATGTTTTAGTATACGTACCATCATACCTGAGTGTCTTGGCCAGGTCCTGTCCCAGGAGTCTCTGAGGCACCAATCTGACCTCAGCGTAGACAACTCCTCTCTGGGCAACGTCTTCACAGTACTCATATGCTAGACTCTATGTTTTAGTATACGTACCATCATACCTGAGTGTCTTGGCCAGGTCCTGTCCCAGGAGTCTCTGAGGCACCAATCTGACCTCAGCGTAGACAACTCCTCTCTGGGCCACGTCTTCACAGTACTCATATGCTAGACTCTATGTTTTAGTATACGTACCATCATACCTGAGTGTCTTGGCCAGGTCCTGTCCCAGGAGTCTCTGAGGCACCAATCTGACCTCAGCGTAGACAACTCCTCTCTGGGCCACGTCTTCACAGTACTCATATGCTAGACTCTATGTTTTAGTATACGTACCATCATACCTGAGTGTCTTGGCCAGGTCCTGTCCCAGGAGTCTCTGAGGCACCAATCTGACCTCAGCGTAGACAACTCCTCTCTGGGCCACGTCTTCACAGTACTCATATGCTAGACTCTATGTTTTAGTATACGTACCATCATACCTGAGTGTCTTGGCCAGGTCCTGTCCCAGGAGTCTCTGAGGCACCAATCTGACCTCAGCGTAGACAACTCCTCTCTGGGCCACGTCTTCACAGTACTCATATGCTAGACTCTATGTTTTAGTATACGTACCATCATACCCAAGTGTCTTGGCCAGGTCCTGTCCCAGGAGTCTCTGAGGCACCAATCTGACCTCAGCGTAGACAACTCCTCTCTGGGCCACGTCTTCACAGTACTCATATGCTAGACTCTATGTTTTAGTATACGTACCATCATACCCAAGTGTCTTGGCCAGGTCCTGTCCCAGGAGTCTCTGAGGCACCAATCTGACCTCAGCGTAGACAACTCCTCTCTGGGCCACGTCTTCACAGTACTCATATGCTAGACTCTATGTTTTAGTATACGTACCATCATACCCAAGTGTCTTGGCCAGGTCCTGTCCCAGGAGTCTCTGAGGCACCAATCTGACCTCAGCGTAGACAACTCCTCTCTGGGCCACGTCTTCACAGTACTCATATGCTAGTCTCTCCACGGCATCTAGATCCCCACTGCACACCAACATACAGCTATTCATTATTCAGTAAATCTAACACCTGCATTTTTAGCGAATTTCCCATATAGGGAATAAGCTATTACCGTAGTACTCATGGTAAGACCTGGACCCGGGACCGATTTTTTTTTTCGTTTTGAGGTCCCTAGAGGCTAAAAACACCATCCGTTCAAATTCATATACATATATATATATATATTTATATATGTGTCCGTTAGCGCGATAACTCGAGCAAAAACAATCCGATTTTGATGAAATTTGGTACAAACGTGTAAACCTACGTTTATTCGAACGAGTTCGCGAACCAGCATGATCGGACCATGGGAACGGGGGTTTATGGGAGGTTTTATGGGGTAAAAATGAGTTTTTTCCACTTTTGACTCAAAAAACATAAAATTTTGCAATTTTTTCCAAACTATTTTGTAGGTAGAGCTTAAAAAAACAAATAATTTAGTATATTGAAGCGTTATAATGCACCTAATGGTTACGGAGAAAATTTCAAAAAATTGTAAATTTCAAATTCCCATGTTATTCTTATGGAGAATATGTAAACTGTTGTAGTTTGCTTGTTTATAAACATTTTTTGCCCAAATTTGGAAAATGTTTTTATTTCTTACTAACTATTAACATTTTACATAAAAACACTTTTACCCTCCCTGTTGCAGCAAACCTAAGTATGTGTTAAACTGATTCTATTTAAATAGGGAATAAATGTGATATTTTTAAGGAGACATTTTAGTGTAAATCCAATCAGGCAAATGGAAATTCGCTTAGTCTGCAGGTTTGCTGCGGCGGGGGTATTTATATTTATTTTATTTGCCAAGTTAAAACCTTTTAAACTATAAAGGGTGTTAGAGGTACCTTGTAACGATATTAAGGTTTAGAAATTCATAATTACAATAAATACTTGGGATAGGTTTACATTTTTTAGCTGAGTGCCTTCCAGCCAACACAACTTCAACTACAGCAGCTATTTATGTTTGTGGGAGAGGCTAAACAATGTATTTTCTGTCTGTAGGGTTTGACAATATTTTCACCACATCTGACAAAGGAAAAAATATCACAATTAGGGGGCAGTACAACCACTTTACAATTATTATTATAGATATATTTCTAAAAACTCACCCATTGATTAGCCAAACAAATTAGACGATTCTGCTCAATAAATACCAAGAGTGGTTAGATGGGACCGTACCCATGTGTCCGTTAGGAGGATACTCAAGTAAAAATCATACAATTTTGATTACATTTGGTACAAACGTGTAAACAAGCTACTAACCAGCATAGTCAAAATATAAAATGTTTTAATTTCTTTCCAATTCATTTTGTAGAGCTCAAAAATACAAATAATTTAATATTTTAAAGCGTTATTGTACATCTAATAGTCACATAGCAAATAAAAAAAAAAATACAAAATTGAAATTCCCATGTAAATATCATGGAGAATATGTAAGCTGTTGCAGTTAACTTGTTTTCGAATATAACATTTGATTTCTGGAATAAACCTTTTGTTTACACGTTTGTACCTAATTTCAAGAAATTGGGCTCTTTTTCCAGAGTTATCGCGCTAACGGCTACATCTATATCAATATTTATACAGGGTTAGTAAAAGGTGTGGAGACCAAGTTTGGGAACCGAGTAGCTATTATGCTTAAAAAGTTCTTCATAACATGCCAAAAAGGTGTGTAGAGTTTTCCTAGTGTGAGCCATTACAAAATTTACAGGTGGTCTCCAGACTTGGAAAGCTGTAAGTTAAATTTAACTTCTGAGAATTTCAATTGGCTGCCATTTTTTACTGGATTGAGATAGAGACCTCTAGTTTGCGTTGTTTGTTTTCTTTTACCAGGACCTTCAAAATTAGCGGTTACTCGATGGGTTTTTGTTTTTTTTTTTAAAGTTTTGAGTTTCCCCCAAAATCCCCCATTTTGGGGATGTACACCAAGTGGCCAAAATGCCCAAAAAGTACTTCATAACATGCCATAAAGGTGTGGCGAGTTTAGTTGGGCCGTTAAAAAAATAACAGGGGGTCTCCACACTTTTCACTAACCCTGTATATACACATATATAAAAAATATAAATATATAGATAGCCTATATTTGAATTTGAACGGAGGGTGTTTTGTTTTTGGCCTACGGCGACCTCAAAACAAAAAAGTAAATCGGTTACCATGAGACATTCGGTAATAGCATATAAATTTTTAATGAATGGGACATTCGCTAAAACTGATTTCTAATCCTAATCAAATCTGGGTGGAAATCAGATGTGGAAAACGACTTTTCAGACTTTTAAATAGGATTAAAGATTTGCAGTGGTGGTGATTAGAGCCCGCGGGCCTCCCGTAAGTTGGTTTACCCGGCTCCCTCTCTCCCAATAATCTTCAACAACATTATCACAGGTAGTTCCGCCTAAACTTGCACTTTTGCTTGGCACGGCATCTCCCGAGGCACAGAGGCTTCATCGTTGTCTTCCATGATCGCGGCAAAATCGTGAATACTTCCTGTAGTCATGGAAACGTCTACCGTGTTTGCAGCCAAAAAACCTAGGACATCTTCAGATAACAACATAATCGTCTCCAGAATATTTTTTTCTGCAATTGCGGCAAAATCCTAGATCTATCAACCGCGGAAAAATAAACGTCATCATCATCTTCTGCAATAATGTCAAAATCTAGAATACTTTGCACGGTCAAGGAAACATTTAAATGGTCGTCCATTATCACAGCAAAATCCTGAACGTCTCCCGGTGGTCGTGTGGACATCATTATCGTCTTGCGCAATCGCGGCAAAATATTGAACAACTCCCGGTGGTCGTGTGGACATCATTATCGTCTTGCGCAATCGCTGCAAAATCCTGAACGTCTCCCGGTGGTCGTGTAGACATCATTATCGTCTTGCACAATCGCGGCAAAATCCTGAATGTCTCCCGGTGGTCGTGTGGACATCATTATCGTCTTGCGCAATAGCGGCAAAATATTGAACAACTCCCGGTGGTCGTGTGGACATCATTATCGTCTTGCACAATAGCGGCAAAATATTGAGTGGCTCCCGCGGCCGCGGAGACATCGTCATTGTCAGTCAGTCAGTCATTGTCAGTCAGTCAGTCATTGTTGTCCGTCACAGTTGTCATCATTTACGAGGTCTGGTGATACAACTCGCATGACTAATGACAATGCTTTAGTATAGAATTTCTATCGATCGGTCAAGTAGTGTTAGTTTAGCTTTTTTGAACTGCTTGTCCGAGCGTTCTTACTGGTTTTTAACAAATTTTGGTCAAAAAACTTATGGTAATTCTCATATAAATATCGTTATGTTAGGGAGCCTGTGTGGCAGACCCCGGTAAAATTTCCCGGTAAATCCCGGTCAAGGCTCGCGGGCCCACTCCCACCACGGCCACTAAGCCCTGGTTGTAGAGGAGTTGTTAGTATGTAATGTTAAATGTTCTCTAAGAGTTCTATATATTTTTAAAACCAATACTTTATTAGTTATTAAATGCTTGGATTCAAACAAAATTAAACTGGACTCATTTGGTCCTCCAAACCTAGCCTAGTGGCTTTCACTTAAGATAGAAAATTAAATGTTTAAGTTTAAATTCTAGACTATATCACAGCACAGTACCTGTAAACTGGTGTCAAATGTTTGTGGGGTTTTAAGAAGTAATGCAAACTCTTTGCTTCATCACAGGTGCAAAATTTTCTCATGTCATCTAAACTTTCCACACCA